CCCCCCCCCCGTTTAAGAAGCTGCTTTAAATTCTCAAGAGCAGAAAATCGTGCGCTTTACAAAGATACTTTAATTTCTTAATAAGTCAATATTTATAATATTTCAATAGTTTTGGGGTTTTTTTGGGACATCCTGTATATACACGGTGAGATCACGTTTCGCTGAAACGAGGAATCTATGTTGTCTGTAATGAAAGCTTAAAAGTAAATAAGTCATAATAAATGTCTGACGTGCGACTTCACAATTTCCTTCAGTATAAGTGGCACATATACGCCCGTATTCTAAAAGGTCACTCACACTCAATGAGTGGAGGTTCAATCTGAGCTTCTCTTGAGTGTCAATGCTGTTTTTGAATAGCTGGAGGGTGAGTAGTCACATAGTATAAGGTATGACACTAGCCCTCCAGCTATTCAAAAACAGCCATGACACGCGAGAGAAGCTCAGATTGAACTTCCACTCATTGAGTGTAAGTGTGAGTGACCTTTTAGAATACGGGCGTTAATGTTAGTAAATATTTCAGTATTCAAAACTTTGAACAATTGGTTTGAATTTAATGCAGACAGCAGACTGTTTCTAGCCACTGACCTAGGAGAAGTTAATTAAACGATTGCTGCATGTACTTTATTTCACGAATTTTTTATTAAGATGTAGTCTTGATGATTGAAAAATATTTTGACTTTTTATGGAAAGAGTGGAGAAAAAGCTAGAGAACGTCATCTGGGGATATACAGTTGATGAAAGCAATATATTGATTGGCGAGGCCAAAGGGGAACCTTCACTGCCACATTCATGAAGAGGAGGGATTGCATATCAATTAGCAAAAGAGCAATCGACTTGATTAGCTATCATCATGGTTTTGTGAAACGAATGACAGGTTGAACAATGTAGAATGAATCAGTTGAAAAATAACTACAGTTGAACAGTCCTTTCTAAGCTAAAAGTTGTTCTGGCTATTGTCATATAACCGCGCAGTTCATTGAGGGCGAAGGTGAGCGGCTTTGAAGAAATTAACTGGGTTTATTGTTTAGTGTTATTTCCTTTTATTAGTATAATTCCGTCGGTTAATTAAGGCAAATCCTATGAATTTTGCGTTGTCGAAGTCAGACTTGGAAATACCATCCGTTGTAAAGCTATTCGGAGGTATTAAGCAAGGGTATCCGAAATTTGTGCCAAGCGTAGTGACCTCCTATGCTATGAAGTTTTGTGATTTCATTTTTATTCACAGCCACTTCCGCTGTAGTGGTGGTTTGGTTTTTGTCCGTTTGATTTATTTTATTTTCAAGTTTCTCTATCTTTGGTGATGTCTCATCATAATAATCATATCCGAGGTAAATACTCATTATTTATTATTTATTATTACTGCTAAGACGAATGAAAAGATTTGTAAGTCCGGAGGATGACAGGAGAATGAGACCATTGTTCAGTCCCTACATAGCCTGTGAACAGGCGTTTATTCCGGTGGGCCACGTAATAATAAACGCCCTTTGAGTCACGCCCACCTTCAAGAACTCAAAATCACATTACTCAAAATATCAACGAGCTTCCGTGTCCTATGCGGAACTGGCTGGATTTCTTTTCATTTATAAGATGTCTGTAGTAGTGACGTCATCATAATGTCATGTGATGTAGGGGGATAATAGTTTTGTTGTTCATACGCTGACAGATAGTAGATAGCTTAAGATCTACGACGTCGACGTCAGCTAGGACGTCAGGGCTATGCAGAGGACTAGGACTAGGATGTCCTAATATAGTCCCAGTCCTCTGCTTAGCCCTGACGTCCTAGCTAACGTCGACGTCGTAGATCTTAAGCTATCTAGTATCGAAGACACTGAACGAGATTGCTTATCACTAGAAGTTTACATTTAATCATACTGGGATTGTTTATAGTTTGTTATTAGTATTATTAAATGGGTTTTCACTAAAGAGTCTGAGTGAGAATATTATATTGGCGACGAGAATGGCGCAAGAGCAACCAGCCGCGCAAACTGCAAATCAACCATCGGTTTCAATTCATCCGGTACCTGAATTCAACCATGATTCCGAAGTGGGCGAAAGTTTGGGCACACGTTGGAACATTTGGATGCAAGATTTCGAAATGTTCATCCTTGCAAGTGGAATCACTGATGCGAAGAGAAAACGCGCTTTACTTTTGTATCAAGCCGCACAACGTGTTCGCGAGATTTTTCGACAAATTCCAGACACGGGAAATGACAATGAGTATGATGTGGCGACGACCAAGCTCAAAGAATACTTCGAACCACAGCAAAACCGACGTTACGCAGTCTATCGGTTTCGTCAAGCGCATCAAGAAGCTCATGAAACCACGACCAATTCCATACGAGATTACGGACCTTAGCGCAAAGGTGTAATTCGTTTAACGATATGGACTTTGAGATCGAGCAACAGATAATCATGCACAGCAGGGTTGTCATCTCGAATTCGCAAAAAAACTTTACGAGACCCAACGTATGATCACAGGTAGCCCAGACACACTGTGCGATTTAAATTTAAATGCTTGGTATACTTAATTACCCCCCCCCCTGCGGTATCGATCTCATAATAATAATAATGTCAATGATTAGCTCAAAAATATTCTGAATTTTTACACTAAAATGTATCACTAATCAATACTTATCGTTGAAGGAACTATAGCATGCATTAGCAAAAATAAATAGTTTATACCTTTAGTAGAAGCACTTGAAATCCAGCTTTAAAATCAACTGACATACACGGCGACGCGGCGGAGGAGGGAAAAGGAGACAAGGTTGGCAACATCCAATGGCCAAGCTGCACGTATCATCATAAACAAACCAGTCTAACTCAACAATACGGAAAGCTTAGCCGAAAATTCTTCAATAGCTGATAAAACAACTATCTTGCTTTCCAACAATGTAGTCCGTTCAAAATTTGAAAGTTTCCCTTTGCAGAAATTTCACTTCAAACCACGGCGAGTATTAATGTCATCGACCAAGATACGTACTCGAAATGAAAGGCATTAAATTGCAGCAAACAAACGTTAAAGCTTTTGCGTACAATTCAACCAAACCGGTCAAATTTCTCGGTAAATTCGAAGAGACAATCGAGACTCGTAAACGCGTTACTAAACAAACATGCGAAAGTTTTTCATGGTCTTGGTAAGCTAAAAGGGGACAAAGTAAAATTAAACATTGCAAAAGACCACCCACCTCGAGCCCAACAACAGCGACGAATCCCCTACCATATTCGGGACAAGATGAAAAGCGCCTTAGAACAATTAGAGAAAGAAAACATTATTGAGCGCGTTCCCGAAGATGAGCCGGACCCTATGGGTATCCAGCCAATTGTTGGCGTACCCAAGAAAGATGGCGGGGTTCGCATCTGCGTGGATATGCGAGCTGCAAACGAGGCCATCAAGCGAGTACGCCATCCCATACCCACAGTCGAATATATCATTTTCGAGTTGAACGGTGCGACATGTTTCTCGAAGTTAGACCTCTCCCAAGCCTATCATCAGCTTGAAGTCGACGAAGCAAGTCGTTATATAACTACGTTCAGTGCTCATGTCGGTCTGTTCCGGTATAAACGGCTTAATTATGGGACAAACGCAGCTGCCGAGATATTCCAATATACCTTGCAGACACATGCAGCTTCGAGGCCTTACTGGGGTAAAGAATATCGCTGACGATATTCTAGTCTACGGCAAGAAAGGCAAGAACATGCATGATATGAACTTATAGATAACTGTCTGAAACGTCTCTCAGACAAAGGTCTACGTCTAAATATCATGTGAAATGCAGTTTTGTAAACGAAACACTCGAGTTTTTCAGTCAAATTTTCTCTAAAGAGGGAAGCAAACCTGATCCTAAATTAAACGTGTCGATGCTCTAAAGAATGCTCCAGTACCAAAGAACATCTCGGAAGTACGAAGTCTCCTTGGAATGGCGAATTAGAGTGCAAAATACATTCCCAATTTTGCGTCCCGTTACGTATTCCCATTGAGCTGCAATGCGCCCTAGGTACTTGTTTTTCTTTACTTGTCTAACGCCAGACGATTTTACTCGTTAGTGGAGAAGCTCTGCAGCTTAATGGGTTAATTAACCCATTGAGTTGTATTGTGCCCTAATCACCCTACTTTATTATTTTGCTCTGTCTAACACCAGACAATTTTACTTGTGAACGGGAGAGCCGCTGCATGGTGTTCAATGGGTTAACATATCAATAATGTCTAAAGCCCTGTTTACACGAGCAAATTTTATTTGACAAATTTCATATGTCAAAGATATTTTGCTCGTGTAGATGATACATTTGTGACAAATTTATTATGACAAATGCATTTGAACAAAAGCTAGCATGCTAGCTTTTTGTCAAATAAATTTCCTCGTGTAAACGGGGCTTAACTGAACAGTTTGGGCTCAGTGGTCTACAGTAAATTTACCTGTAATCGTAGCCTGGGATCCGTGACCCAATATATCTTCAGTGTCTTCATATGGTACTGTCACTATTTTATAAGTATAATGGACATTTCTCATTTAGGGTGATGTAAGTCATATATGTGGACAAGAAATTAATACAAGTTCTTTCAAATGTTCAAATAGCAAGATTAGTGGTGCACTATAATATACTGTAGTTCTTGCCAGACCTATACTGGCAGAACTAACAATGACTTTTCTCTATAATTTTGTGGGAATGTATTATATGTACTATATGAAACGGCCCAATTAGGCATCAAAACGTGGAACAGCTAAAGAATAATCCATGGAGCTATAAGTTTTAATAATACTGTATCACATGTAACTTGATTGTACAATTAAGTTTTAAAATTATTACTGCTAAGGGACGGACCATTTGATTTTTCATGGGGGGGGGGGGGCGCATTTTTGAGAGTGATCGAATTTTTTTTTGGACCTCACCGACTCCGCACGATTATTTTTTATCGAATCTTGCCGCGTGCACGATATTTTTTTAAATGTTTACTATAGCGTTAATTAATACAATAATACCTGCATTCAGTATTTTTATAAAATCATCATTCACGTATGGTTATATTCCGGCTGAAGAATGTATTTGAATATACAGCATATAACCACAAAATAGGAAAGTATAGCAGAAGTGTAATCCACGAAAATTTTAACTCGCTCACGCCAATCCACGTCATCCTGGCTAGTACAGCCGGAAGTTTTTATCAGGTTTTGGTAGGTACAAAGTGCCGGTTGTACTAGCCAGGATGGCGTGTTGATGACGAATCAACGTAAATGTAAAAACGAATGTAAAAATGTAAAAATCAATCAAATGTAAAAACGCGGACAAATACTTGCTTGAGTGAGACTTCTGGTATACCTTCCTATTCTATGATATAACTACCACAGCCCATTTTATACTTGGCCCATTTTATACGGGGCTATGGTCTACGAAACGTAGACCCCGATCAAAATTGGATCAAGTGTAAGTGTGTAACCCATTTTGCATTGGCGTAATGGCATCTATATACAAATTCTCACGGTTCCCAATCGTATCAGTGTTCCCAATACGTATTATAAACTGCGATTTTTATTCAGAATCAGAGAGCGATATTAATGAGGGTTGGAAAGGGTATTTTCGTGAGCCGTGAATGGTCAATATTTGTTCGTGTGAAATGCTTGATTTTACTGTCGTGAAATGTGATTTATTCTACAGCCGTAAGGCGTGATTGTCGATAAAAATGCTCCGTGAAATGGGAATTAAGGATGTCTGTTTCGTGAACTGTGATTTTGATTTGTTTATTCCGATCTATTTTATAATAGTCATAATGGACATAATACGCGATAATAATTTATATGATCGATCTCACTCGATTGCACAAGAGTAGAAGCTTCGGAGGCCTTTCGGAGGTCGTCGGACGTACTCATCACTCAAACTTGTAAGTAGTTTTTAACTGCCAGGCAGAGAAGAGAACTTAAAGCGTAGTACTGTACCATGCATTAAACATAATCTGAAAGCTATTATTATTTATTATTTTTATTAGAGTCTCGTTATCCGTGAAATGTACGTGCCTGAAATTGCTTTTTTATGCCCCCCCCCATGAAAAATCAAATGGTCCGTCCCTAATTTGATCATTATTCTTTGACCATGCAATTTTAATTAAATTAATACAAAATCAAGCAAATTTTTGTCTTTAATTTTGAAACATGTTGCTTGGTATGATGTTTAATTCACTAACAACAGTGGCATGAACTCATTGTGGGAACATTCTGCAATAAGCAAGAATAGATTATAGCCATACTGGCCCATAGGGGCTATCAATACGGAAGCCAGGCTGCCCTGGTTGGCAGAATAATTTCTCATTTTCTTGCGAACACGTCACAATTCTAATGTTTTGACAATATTTTCATGACCAATTTTGTTGTTTGACCTTATTTTGACCAAGTCAGTCCAGTTAGTGTTTCGTATAGCCATGAAATATCTTCCCGGTATAACTGACATCTTGCCTTGTTCAGGTGAGATAGTCCCTGTGTTGTGACTCGAAAAGTGCCTAGAAATACTTTTACGGGAACTAACACTTTCGAACACGCTGAGTTCAAATCCGAAAAGTTCCCACTCCGTAGACCGGCAGTTTTTTCACAAAATGCTACTTTATCTTCACTAATTTTACAGCAAATTTTTTCATTGTTCAACGATACGGATCGCTGACGATACACGATCATGACACTCAAAAGGACCAATTTCTATTAACCATTCTTCCTTTTAACAAAAGACCGGTTTTTCTCGAATCATTTTAGTTATGCAATCTAAAGGCCTGATTCCACGACGGCGAAATTCTTCGCACGAAATCGTGTGTGCGAAATGCCGAAATATGATGGATGGCTGCACATGAGTGATTCTATTGAATTTGCACTCTTTCAGTTTCGCTTTCCCAGTAAGTAGAACGGACTTCTACTCACTGGCGAAGCGAAATTTTTTCTCGCGAAGGCTACTTTATCTTTACTGCGCATGCACGATTTCATTTCGTGCGAAATATTTCGCATTTCGTGCGAAATATTTCGCATTTCGCCGAGAAAAAGCACCCGTAGAATCAGGCCTTTAGTGTTGGACGTAAACAACATATCTTGTCTACAACTTTGAGAAGGTACAGATAATTCCTACTAATATCCTCAGTTCTGGATCTATCTCTATAAAATCACAAGGAAGTTGATGTCAAGTCTTTGCCTTTGGGCTATGTCTCTGGGCTGGGAAATAATTCCTTCCGGGAAATAATCCCTAGAAGGCTACACGTTTCTGGGGTCCAACTCGAAAACATCCGCTGGAGGTGTAGGTCAGTTAGGTCTCTATGTGGATAAACAACTATAGACTTTGTTCAAAGGAAGGGCTTAGAAATAATTTTGGAAGGTGTCGAATCGTGCTGGATTGAAATTGAGAATAAAAAACAAAAAAAACATTGTAATTGGCAGTATCTATAGACATCCAAATAATGATTGTAATCTTTTTTATGAACTCCTAAGGAATACATTAGTGACGCTGAACAACAAAGGTCACGAAGTTGTACTAATAGGCGATATAAATATTAACTTTTTACAGTACAAAAATACTACAATGCAAACAATTTTACATCCGAGTATCTTGATATGATTCTTGAAATGGAATTTATGCCATTGATTACAAAACCTACTCGTATAACCGATATAAACGTATTCAACCAATCAACCAATCCCCTGCCAACCTACACAACAACTGCAAACTTCATACATTGTACCAAACCCCATCACACCTGAGCTTTGGTAATCTCCGACCAACACTAACAAGCCCATCACCATCAAGTGATGGAAATCGTTGGCCTTTCCCTGCCTTCGAAAGGGTTCCCTTCGAGAAAAGATCCCTAATAATTTCGTCATTCATTGTTTTTATTTTATGGTGGAAAAAAGTTACCCCCAAACTAAAATATACATATTTATTTTTTTTCTTGCGGTCCGAAGTCATATTTTACGCTTTTCTGCAATCTGATTGGCTACGTGAGCGGTCCGTATGAGCCCGTACGGACCGCGCGAGATTTAAAACCGTAGAGCCAATGTTTTTATTTTTCAAAATTTAAAGACGAG